AGAGTCATGCAAAATGTGTTCCGCTCAAAGCTTTTAGAGTGTTCCAAGCTCAAAGGAGACTTGTGGGTGTTCTATGCTTTCGGAACAAAATCTGACCATTTCAAATACTAACATTTGGAGTATTGAGTCATAGGAAACAGCTTTCAAGCAAGTTGTTTCAAACATTTGACGTTCAAAACAAAACATGCTTGTTCAGATAGTTTTGTTTCAGGGTTGAAACAACAAAAATAGTTACATTATGAGCATTGTTGAGATGGCATGTACCCAGCTTAACTGATTTTTGAATAGGACTATTTTGCTATGAGCAAAAAAACAAAAAAAGGTTCCTTCTCCCAAGTCAGCAGAAGAGAAGTATTTGATTTACTCCTGTATCAAAGGCAATCCTCACGTGATAAAAATTAAAACTATTATATCTATTGTATCTTTAATACCGTTTTCTGGGTAAACATTTGATAAAAGTTAACAAAAAACTGCTGGTGGCGTGTGACTTAAAAAAAAAGGTGTAAGAATGCATCTCCCACCCTTTTTTTCCAGAGTAGGAGTGTAAAGTTATTGATTCAAGCATTGGTACTAACAACTCTAATGAATGAATGAGATAAATAAAAGGTCTTGCTTTTGAGGTTAACACAGAGGCTGTCAGATAAAGAGAAAATAAAAGATGGGGCACTCCTTTTCTTATTTCACAAAACTTATTTTAACTTCTTTAGAAGGTAGTTTGCACTCTGAGAGGTAACTGCATTTCAAATGGTTGAATGACTTCTATTGAAGTTCATACATGTTATCAGCCATGTCCCATAAGATGGTCTAAATTTTATCATCATTTTTGAGGGGGTGGGGAAAGGGAGGGATTGTTTCTGTTTTTTCTGCCTTATATATAAATAAGAAAACATGATATTTATTTGTATTTGTGTATAGAATATATGTATAAAATTTTAATTTGTGGATTATGAGCATCTCTTTTCAAAGATATATCTGCAAAGATATATGAGGCAGCAAGGATAATTAACAGAACATTATGTCCAATCCTTTTCTTGAACCTGCTATTTAAGTTTCTGTGATATTTTAGAGGGTCACAATAACAGAGTTTGAGTTGAGTTTGAGTTTATTGGTCTTGTATGCCGCCCACTCCCGAAGGGCTCCGGGCGGCTTACAATAA